GCCCAACAGCCCCTTCTGCACAGAAATCCTTCCTCAGAGCCAGCCTGACCCTGCCCTGGGCAGCTTGAGGCCATTCCCTCGGGGCCTGGCGCTGGGGCCTTGGCTCCAGAGACTCATCCCCCCTCTCTGCCCCCTCCTGGCAGGGAGTTGCCGAGGGCCAGGAGGTCTCCCCTCAGCCTCCTCTTCTCCAGACTGAGCCCCCCCAGTTCCCCCAGCCGCTCCCCAGCAGACCTGTGCTCCAGACCCTGCCCCAGCTCCGTCGCCCTTCTCTGGCCACGCTCGAGTCACTCAATGGCCTTTTTGGGGTGAGGGGCCCAGAACTGAGCCCACTCAGCGAGGGGCGGCCTCAATCCCCACCACCCAGGGCTGCTTGGCTTGAGGATGTCCCCGCAGACGCTGCCACCCTGATCAGCACAGCTCAGAGGAAGCCTCCGCAGGCAGGGAGGGCGGCGGGGTGATTTCTGCACCCTTTACAAAACAAACTCCACAACTGCTCTGGCTGCTTTTCCCTAGGGCTCGCCCTTGCAGACAACGGGGAGGAGACCCACCCCCTCGCTGGCAGGACCCCTGCCCCTCGCAGTGAGGGAGGGGGATCAGCACCCACTGTCACCTACCTCGGGTGGGCGCACGGGAGGGGAGTTTCTGGTCCTGGGTGGGCAGCTCCGACGGGCCGGGCTCGCTCGGAGGTTGGGGTCCCTTATTCTTGCTGACGGGCATCGGTTGGGGCAGCACTTGCTTGGGCAAACCCTTGAAGAACCAGGCGCCGGAGCGCTTCCACACCTGGGGGGTGCAGGCAGCGGGGTGGCACCCATGTCTCGGGGGGATGCTGGGTGCAGACCTGGCAGTCTTCACCCCCCTGCATCACCGGGGTCCTCCTCCAGCAGGCAACGTGGAGGACGTGCACCCCACCGCCCCACAGCCCGTCCTGCTAATTAATTAATTCTTCAACTGGTACACTGTAGGTGGCACGGAACCCATCGCTGGCCACAACAGCCTCTTCAACCTCAAGATTTTGTTTTCAAGAAAACAAACAAACAAGCAAAAAGGCATTTTACGTAAAAAAAACCACAATATCATCCTCTAAGAAGTAGATTTAAGTAACTGGGGAAGGTCTAGAGGTGCTGGGGGACAGACAGGAGCACCCCCCCAGTCTGGAACTGGTCCCATCTGAGCTCTGGGGTGGGGACAGCGCACAGGGTGAACCCAAGGGCAGGGACCGTGTCCCCCGCTCCGGTGCAAAGCCCCGGGGTTACCCCGCTCACCTCCCGCTGCTCGCTGCAGATCTTGCAGAGCCAGATGGCGTGGGGCCGGCTGTTGGTGGTCTCCACCCCGCACTTGGTGCAGACGTTCTGCAGAGAAAATACAGATGAAATCGCAGATGATTCTGTGATAATAAAGCACCGGGTGGCAGCGGGGATGCCGGGGCCACCGAAAGGTCCCACCACACCACAGCATCACCGCTCAGGAGCATGAGGTTAACGAGAACTCTCCCCACACAGACATCAGCGGCTGCAGAAACCCCCCGGGGATGTGCCCTCGTGCAAAACACTCACCAAAAGCTCACGGTGCCCATTTTTGCACCAGGGGAGGCCGTGTGGGTCCGAGGGGGGCTGCCCCCGGCCGTGGGGTGATGTCTCACCTTCTTGCAGTCCTCGCAGACGACGCAGGCGGAGCCGCGCGGCCCCAGCTGCTCCCCGCAGAGGATGCAGCGGTTCACCCCGTCGCCCAGCACGCTCCGGCGCATGTCCTCCAGCCGGCTCATCAGGCGCCTGGCAGAGAGGGGACAACAGGGGCTGTCAGGAGAAGCATCCTGACGCTTTTCGGGATGCGGGGGTCCCGCTCCCAAGGGGGCAGCTGCTGCCTTTGGTCCAGCCGCTCCTTTTCCTGGCTCCCAGCAGAGCCTCTCCTCCTCCCGCTACGGGAACGCATCCCAGGTGACGTGTCCGAGCGTTATATTCCCCCATAGCTTTATATCACATGCCTTTTGACTTCCACCGACACTGCCGGAGAGCGGATACCGGCCCCAGCTCCCACATACACACACGTGCATAAAATCGATCCCATTCAGCAGCTTTGCACAGAGCTGTTTGCTGTCAGTGAAGCTTTTTTTTTTTTTTACCCCCAAAACCCTTTCCCCCCCAGTCCCAGCGACGGCCCACAGAAGAGCAGCAAGAGGAGATCTTGGAAGAGCTCTGGTGGGAGGACTGAATGAATTAATTAGTTGTCTCATTTTTTCTCAGAAAAAAAAAAAAAAAGGCATATAATTTACTTTATGGCAATTTGAGTAAAACGCAAAAAGCCCGCTGGAGAACAGGCTATAAAAACACATCTGTTTACTGCAAAGGTGAAAAAACCTAAACAGTTAAGCAACTTCTGAACAACAGCAGCGCCGGCAAAAGCACTTTGTGAAGCAGGAGGAGCAGGGGCGAGCTGCCTGCCGAGCACCCAAGAGCTGGCAGTGAGTTGTACGCTCAGTTAACCTAGAATCTTGGCCCTAAAAATAGCATTAAAGGGAAAAAAAGGATGCATTATTTATGCCATTCAGCCAGGAAGGAGAGGGAATGAAGAAAGGGAGGAGGAGACCCAAGCCCACCGGCGGGAGCAGCAGCCCCCCTCGCCGCAGGGCTGCCATCCGCTCCCGTGGCAGCCTGACCCAAATCTGACAAAGCTGCTAACCCGGTGTGCCATAAAAAACACCCGACATTTAAAAGACATTTTCCCACATGTCTGACGACAGCTTCAGATTTATGGCAGCTCGGCTGCCAGCGCCTCTGAATCTCTCACAGACAATGTCAGAGCTCCCCTCCGCACAGGGTGTCTCTGCGGTCGGTCTCCAGCCGCTCGAAGGGTGGTTGGCATCCCGCGGGAACACGATGGCGTTATTGCACACGGGGGCTTGGTAAAGGAACAGCAGCAAGGAGGGGGGGGAAAAACCATCATGGAACACGCAACCTATTACAGTTCATAAAATGCCCCACGGGAAACTCGCTGCAGTCAACGGGAGCATCTCGAAGCACTTCATCAGCCACTGAGTCAAGCCCAAAGCAGGGACGCGGCTCCGTGACTCAGCACGCGTTACCCAACCAAAGCTGTGCTATTACAACAGCTCCTTTAGGTGGGAGACATCGGCCGGGCTAAAACCCACGGGAGAATTTCCCACTCCTCCCCTCGCCCGGGCCCGGCGGTGCCTCCTGACAGTTATTAATGAACCCGCAGCCCATCTCCAGCCAGGGGACAGGAAAGCTGGGCCGGGCAGCCAGCGGGGCCAGACGGAGCCAGCAGCTGGGACAAAGTGTTATCTTGACAGCTACGGTGTCACCAGACAGCAGATGGGCGAGCTTGCGAGTTCCTTCACTCTCCGTCGCCTGAAGCGTCGGCGGCGACATGACCACGGGCTCTAAATAGAGCAATTCAGGTTCTCGCCCTTTTGCTGAAAAATACCACCGGCAGACCGCAGCAAGGTGCTGCCATGGCTTTCCGCTTCGCTCTTACCGGGGAAACCATCTGCTAGCCCCACTCCCTACTCCGGCGTTATTCCCGAGGGACGTGCCTGTCTCTCCCTGCCCTTCAGCATCTCTCACCGCTTTGCAGATGATCCACAGGTGATTTCTTCCTACGGAATAAATCAGCTGCTGGAATCACCATCCGCCCTTGGTGCCTTCCCACGCTGCGTGGCCGATACACCCCGCTGCAATCACGCAGGGCCCGGTGATTTCAAGAGAGCTGCATCATCCCCTAAACGCCCAGCCAGCAGCCAGCAGCGTGCCAATTAAAACCGGGAAACTGGCTGTTCCCCAAACATTTCTGATTTAAACGAAATGAATCACGCCATGGTTGCTCCCAGCCCACGTCCCACCACATGCAACGCAGGGTCCCCATGAAGAGCCCCCAACGGCAAATAACCAACATCATCCAGCTCCTGCCGCAGAACACTGCTCCCACCCCAACAGGGGAAATATTTTGGGGGTAAAACCTTTCTTTTCATAGCAGAGGACGGGTACAAGCCCTGTATCTTCTGCAGTTTCCCCCCCCCCCTCCTCACTGTGCTGCAAGAGCTCTGCTCCAAGAGAAGCAGCTTCCAGTTTGAAATCTGCAAGCCCAAACAAACTTATTATAGAAACTAGAACAAATGGCACAATCAAAGGGGGGAAAAAAAAAAAAAAAAAAGAAAGCCTTTGCATTTCAAAAGATTCATTATTTAGCTGCAAAAAATCTTTCCCAGTCTCTCATTTACCAGAAGCGGCTTCTTAAGAGGGGTTGGGGTTTTTTTGGTGGGTTGGTTTTTTTTGTTTTTTTTTTTTTTTAAACCAGTGGAAGAGCTTCGGCAGTCAGCACACACCTGTGGCACCCGTTTCCAACAAAACGCATTTGCCTAATTACAACACCCATTCAAGTCAGGGAAATGGGGCTGCTTTTCTGAATCAAACGCCGCTGTCAGAGGACTGTATAAAAAGTTAAAATTTAAGTCCTGGCGTGAACCTGGCAGAAAGAGGGCAGGACCTGGGAAAGGGGGGATCTCACCGTGGGCTGGGAAGCTCCTGACTAAGGGGATAACAAGGAGCGAAAAGCCCAGGTTTCTCTTCAATTCCATCCAGCATCACCCTATACACGTGCTGTTCTCCCCCTGATAACCAGAGGGATGCCCTGCTCTTCCCGGGGAGCAGCCAGGAACAAGTTTTCTGCCTTCCCAAAAGCTTTTCTCTCCCTTGGACGTCACTGGTTTCTCATTTTGACTGCACATAAAGGAGCCGTCCGATCCATCCCTCTCCCTTGCACATCCCTAGGACTACAGCAACATCTTCCTTACCATTAAGCCCATCCCTCTGGCCTCTGTAAGACTGATTTTAACGAGCAGGAAATAGGCTCCAGATTGTTCAAACAGGGGGAAAAAATACCCAAGAGAGGAGTGATTGAAGCCGGTGGCAGGGAGCTGGCTAAGCCCAGCACCCGGGAGCATCGCTGAGCCTGGAGACAGCCCTGCGGGGAGGGAGAGCATCCGTCACCTGCCAAAGACATACGTATTAGTCACTGATGGGAGCGAGATATGAGAACTGGGCGAGAGGCTGTATCTGAAATGCTTAACATGCACCTGAGATAACAGCAATAAACCAGTCCCCTGATAATGTAATATCTGCCTGGCCCCATAAATATGGTTTGGAAGAGAAAGGCGAGCAGCCCCGGGGCAGCGAGGGCTGGTGGGAGCCCTCCCCTGCCACCTCCTGCCCACACCTGGGAGCCCCAGCGTGGGCAGGGGAAAGGCTCGTGCCTGCAGGAAGCCCCCAAAAACCCCCTCCCGGGGCCTTGGGTCCCCCAGGGATGCAGCAAAGGCTGCTCGCCAGGCTGAGGGACCATCCCAGGGATGGGACAGAAACTCGCCGTGCTCCAGCATCAGCATTTGCTCCTGCTCTAGGAGCAGAGCGATCCAGAGAGGGACGGAGAGTCGGTGGCGTTAAGTGCTGAGGATCTCGGGAAAACAAGACTTAACAGCGGGGCAGGCACGCAAGAGCGTGTTGTGTTTAAATATTCATTTCCACTCGGCAGAAACGAATGGCTAAAGATGCGCCTAATGGGTTCTAAATCACATCAGGGAGGACATTTAGTGCAGCAGATGACAAAGTGCTGCACGGGGGCAGGAGAAGGACCTGATCCGTGGGCCAGGTGCCCCCCCAGCCCCACGCGGGAACAGACACAAGCCACCGCTTTGGGCGGCAAAAAGAAATTCAGCACAAAGGAGGTCGCAGAGTGCCTCCAGAATTAAGCGCTGACTTGCCTCCGTAGGGAAATCATGCGCCTTAAAGGGCTGAATATTAAATTAAGGCTAATTTCAATGGTATAAAAGAGACAAGGTAAGAAGCCAAGCTACAGATTAAAGAAAACGAAATTGAAATCAGGGTGAAAAAATGAGAAGCAATTTTCTTCCCTGACAGGCGCACAGGTAACTAAAGGTAAAGCATCGCTCGAGCTTTTACAGGTCAACTTTCAGAAGCCGGGAGCCCCCACTATGGCAGGAAGGTGCCCAGGGAGGCTCGGGGGGACTCCTGCATTTCAGAGTGTCAGTGCATCACTCCAGGGGCTTGCTGCCTCCTGTCATGCGTTACAGGAGGGCTGTAATGCTGCAGGTTCACCCCAGCCTCAAAAATAAAGAGAGCAGGGGTTTGTTTTGGTTTTTTTTGGGGAAAAAAACAAAAAAAAAAACCCACAAAAATTCGAGAACTGTCTTCTGGCCATGAATTAACCTCATCTCTTCTAGAAGCTGGCATCTCAGGAGACATTTCTGTCTGCCTCCAGCAACTACTCTGCCTTTCCCAGCCCCTATTTTTATTTTTGTGTTGTCTGAACACGAGGAAGAAAATATGAGACTGTGGCCCCCAGAGAGCATCTCTGCTGCTGGCCACCATGGTTAATGACTTAATCCCCTGCGATTCCAGCCATCTGCTCCAGCATTACGCACGTGTCATCCCGGCTATAAGCAGCCAAATTAAAACGCGATCCTGCTTGATAGCTGGTCCTCTCAGGAGGGGGGGGGGAAAGGTGAGAGGCTGCAGCCCTCGGGGAGACAGTCAAACCGTCGCCCTGTCAGAGGGGACTGGAGGGAAGGGAAGAGCTGCTCCCAGGCAGGGGCACGGCCGGACCCAGGACCCGTGTGTCACGTCACGCCGGGGAGAACCAGCTCCGTGCCGTGGGGCGCTCTCCAGAAACTGAGATTTCTAACTTCGGGTGGTTTAAGAGATTTCCTTCGACGCCGAAAGCACGATGGACCTCATTAGGCAGCGCAGCAGACTTGGTGGGTTATTGATGGCACCCAATTATAGGTGCCTAACGGCCAAATAGTGCCTGCAGGTGCTCCCACGTCAGCGAGGAGGAACAGGCTGCAGCTGGAGCATCATCACCGCTCAGAGCTGCCGCAGGGACCCCCTGAGCACCAGCCTGGGCCATGAAGGGAGAGAGAGAGAGAAGGGATGAGAATGGATCCATCCCTGCCACAGGTCTGCTTTGCCCTCCGGCTTTCAGCCCCTGCACCTCTGAACCGGCCCAAAAGATTATCCCAACCCCCAGGCAGTTGCAAAGCCCTTCACCGACTCGCACTCGATGCCCTCTCACTGTATCACTGTTTAAGATCATTTCAGCTCCTATTTTCCTTCTCTTGCTACCAGACAACGACCCAGCCGAAAAAAAAAATAAAAAAAAACAAAACACACACACCAAAGTGCCCCTGTCCTACAGTCCTCATCAGCATCCAGATCACGTATCCCACAGGCCTCCATCCACCCCTGGTGCTAAAAATACCCTTTTGCTAAGATTAATTTGAGCTGGCTTTGACACGACGTCCGATTCCACAAACATCTCAACAAGCAGGCATTGATTTGTCCCCACCCTCCCCGCTGAGGTAAGGGGCTCGTGGGACGGCGGGTGCAGGAGAGGGGACACGAGAGGGCAGGAGATGGAGGAGACGGATGGCACTAAATCAGGAAGGACTTCAAGGCCTGAGGAGGTTCGTTTGCAGCCAGCCACTGAGCTGTAGGCTTCGTGAGTGCTCAAATATTATACGTAAAGCTCAAATGCAGCCCCTCAAACACATCCACTCATTAAGACAACTCCAAGTATTTACTGCATGTTCCCCCTTCGGAAGGCACATTCGCTTCAAGTAAGCTATTCCTTATATTAACCCAAACCAGGTTTTTTTTTTAAACGGATGTTCCTTTTTTTTTTTTTTTTCCCCCCTTACAGGAATAGAAACTCCCAGAAAAATCGCTGAAAAATGACGCTTTCCAGGAGCATCTCCCAAGAGCAGCTTGCGTGACTGAGGGACACTGTCACAACCACTGCATCCCTGCCAGAGGCCAGCCTGGCAAACCCGGATTATTTTGTAATATAAGGAGCTATTCTGGATAACATCCGAGCAGCTCCTGAACGGGTGATTCTGTACAAGGCTGATATAGACACTGTCCCATATTTCTGTAGCTGCACATCCTACAGCTCTTGTTGTGCAAGCCAACAAACACAAAGGAGCTGGCAGGGCTCCTGCTACGCCTACACGCAGGAGGCAAATCAGCTGCGACTGCACATCCGCCAGCCTTCCCCTGCTCTACTCCGAGTACAGCACCAAGTCCCCCGCCCGGCTTTTTTTCATGAATGAAGATGAGAAAAAACCTCCTCCGACTCGCCTAAGCAAGGTAAAAGGGAGAGTTTCTGCAGGTTTGCAAACAGCTGCAGGAATGCACGATGAAAAAAAAAAAAATTTTTTTTTTTAAATTAAAAATAAAATAATAATAATTTTTTAAAATCGCTTTCCCCCACTGCTAAAGTTGATTGAAGCATAACCCAGAGAGCATCACTTTTGAGAGTAATTCCTACTGGGCTGCAAAAGGGCAAAGCTGGGAAAATGCTGTTTGTAAGCACTTTTTGGGGAATGAATCACCCCCGTTCGTAGCTACTTTCACCTGCTTTCTGCCAGAAAGCCCGCAGAGGAAAGCGGGGCACATTGCCACGTGAGGCAGCGCCAGTTGGGGAGCCCCCCCCCCAGCCCGGGGGAGCAGCACACGCTGAGCCCGGGGCAGCACCAACGGCTGCTGTCGAGGCAATACCTGCCTAAACTCTTCCCAGACCCGCTCCTAACAAAGCGTTTCTAAAACCGAGTAAATAAATCCACCTCTTAGGAGGCCACGGGCTGCAGCCACCCCTCCGTGCTGCGGCTGGATCACCCCGTGACCCCGTCGCAAACGCACGCTCGGTATTTAAGTGTTATGAAGCAGCCGGGGTGATGGATTAAAGCTCCGGCTGCAGCGCGAGGCTCCGCGGGCACAAGCGGGTCCTCGCAGCGTTTCACCAAGCAGCTGCCCCACAGGGCCACGCGCCTGTTTGCTGAGCAAAGCTTCAGGAGGGGCTTTGGAGAGCACCGGGCCTGAGGATTTTCCCTGCAAGGGGGAAAAAAAAAAATTTAAAAATAAAAAAAATAAAATAAAATAAAAAAGGCAGTCGATGCTTAAACTCAGCGAGAATAAAATGCTCCTCTGTAATGAGAAAAGGGATGATGCCTCACAAACGGGATTACAGAGATCCCCTCCGGAAAACCAGCCCCAGCGGAACAAGTCGATACTTAATTATTGGGATTATTTCGCCTGGCACCTTTGCCCAGGCAAGGTAGGGATGCGGTCAAAGCAAACACAGGCACTTCTCACCCTCAGGGATGCCCCCGGCGACTGTGGGTACCCCACTGCGGGTGCGGCGGGGCAGCGTCAGCCCCCCCAGGAGCTGGTCCCAACACACGGGGCCGGCCCCGAGGCTGGGCATCGCTCAGACCTGCTCAGCCTCACAAACAGCTCATTTTTGGGTGGCAGGAGGGATTAACCACCCGGACACGCAGCCGGAGCGGGGGACGGATCCACCCCTGTTCCCAAACCAAGACAAACCACCTTTTGGTGAGCCGTGGTTTTGCCCGCACTCACAGGTGCTCGGGGTCAGGACTGGGCAAGCAGCTTCACTCCACAAAATGAGTTGTTATTAACGATTCCTTCTGGACCAAATTGGAAATAAAAAAAATAAAATAAATAAAAAAAAAAGAAAAATCGATGAGACTATAAATTCTTGGTCCAGAGCACAGCGGCAGCGGCACGCAGAGCAGCTCCCTCCCCTGCTTTCAGGTTCCTCCTGGCCAAGGACCAACGCCAGCTCAAAAAGATCCCCCGCAGGCTCCCTTTCAGGAGAAACACTGCAGTGCAGTAGCTGCTGGCCAGGAAAGCAGCCAAGGCAGCGCTTCCCCCGTGGGCACCAGCGAGCTGGGGGGTCCCTCCCGTCCCCCCGCCGCCGCCACCTCACCCGATGCGCTCCTGCTCCATCTCCTCCATCTTCTCGGCCCGGGCGATGACTCGGTTGATGATTTCCTTCTCCTCGTCCGTCAGCTCCTCGCTCTTGCGCGGCCGGTCGGGCTGGCCGCCCCGCGCTGCCCAGCCGGCGGGGAGCCTGGGGGTAGAAGGGGCCCAGGGCATCATCCGCACACGCACACCCGTCTGCATCCACACGTGCGTGTGTGTGTGTGTGTGGGCGATAGCCAGGCACCAACCCCCGAGTCCAGCAAGAAGGGGTACGATGCCCCCGAGCTCTCTTCTAGCAGGAAGCCTGCAAAGAGCCCCCACCCACCAGGTGGAAGCTTTTATTTCCGTTTTTGGGGGAGATTCAGATGGCAACGCTTGTTCCATATGGATAAACCAAGTTTCCTTTTCAAAAATATTCTGAGTATTTCCGTGTGAAGTGTCAACGGATGGTTCATTCTGCACCCTGCTCTCCGCCGCGTAACACGGGGTTTGCCCACGAGCTGCGGTACTGAGGCGACGGCCACAGGAGCGGATGTTTCTTTGGGTACATCTCACCAAACGGGGGAGTTTTTCCTCTCCCAACATCATTTCCAAAGATCCTTTCACACAACCTGGGCCGTGGGCAGCTTTAACCTGGTGACACGGTAACATCTGCCACCCAGCCTTGCAGGTACCAATCCTAACAAGGGATGCAAAAGGCAAACTCCCCTCATCTCTCTGCTCATCTAAAGACCTTTCCTGGGCCTTTTTCCCCCTGGGCTGAGCAGACCTGCACGGTCTCAAATCTTAAATTCATTAAAGGCGTGTGCAACGCTTCCCAAAATTAATTGCTTTTTTTTTTCTTGCATCCAAAGCAAGGTTTTTCCTGTTCTCTCAAGACCATCAGAGCACAAAGTAAAGAGCAATAGAAAAAAAAAAAAAAAAAAAAAAAAAAAAAAAAAAAAAAGTGAGATACTTACTGCTCTTTCTCGCTGCTGGGAGGCACAGAGAAAGAGAGGGAACAAGGATTAGGTGAGAGAAGGGACAAGGACAGCTCAGCCCAGGCACAGTCTCTCTCCATGGACTTCCCCTGCTCCCCCAAAGCAGAAAGCCCCGAACACGAGCTTTGCCCGGCCCCTGCATCATCCAGGCACCCAAACCCAGCACCCAGGGGTGCTGCCCACCCCCCATCCAGCCGAGACAGAGATCTGCCAAGCGGCGGGATGCGGCATCACCCTGCACGGCGCCAGGACGGACGGACGGGGCTCCTGGTCGGCACCGGGGCGCGTGCGCACCCGCGGGTCTGTCCCCACCACCTTTCTCAGAGGCTTGAGGAGGCAACGGGGCCAAATGTCCCCATCCCACCGGCGCAACCCCAATTCCCAACGCCCCCAGAGGATGAACCGGGGTGGCTGCACCCGCATCACCTCCCACCCCGCAGGGACCCTCCTCCCTCCCGCACCCAGCAGCATCCCGCAACCCCCGGCCTTCCCGTCTCACCTGGCCCGGAGAGACATGGTCCTGTCGCTGGGGCACATCCACCGGTCAGAGCTGCCGCCCACCACCGCGTCAGTCATCGCCGGCTGCCCAGGGGACGCGGGGAGGGGGTTTGGGCACCCCGGTGCTCCGCCGAGCCGGCGTCAAGCACTGTGCTCCTCTGCCCGTGCTCTCAGAGAGCAGCGATGCCGACGGAGGTAACCCGGTGTGCTTTCAGCCAGGCTGTGGGGAGAAAAAGCAAACAACCAAACAACAAAAAACACAAAATCACACTGGGCAGGGCTTTACTTTTGGTTTTAAGAGGAGCGAGAGCAGAGAGACGAAGAGGAATGTCACTTCAGTCACTGTCCCGGTATCATGTGTGAGCCGCAGGAGCCTACAACCACCACTCTCCCAGGAGGGCAATGCAGCTGCGCTCGGCACGGATGTAATTAATGAGATACCCGACCTCACATTAATTATGAGGCTTCAGAGCCGGGAGGGAAGAGGATGTTTCCGTTTCAGAGACAAATCTACAAACCCGGAAACTTTCTCCCCAAAACCCAGCACGTCTCGCTGTCCTCCCCCAAACCACGTTCCCTCTGGAACAAAACTCCTCCTTTTCCATTTTTGCTCACTAAAGTTCTTGCAAAATGAAAGCAGGAGAGAGACACGGAAGGAGGATGTGGCAACAGGACCCGAACATGACATTCTGTCTACTCATCTCCAACAGATTCATCAAGAAAGGGACCTCTTCAAACCCTTCTCCTTTCAGCAAAACTGACAGCTTTTATTAAAAACCAAATGGATGCAAAATCCAGAGCCTGAGGGCTAGTTTATTCCCAGTTTCTGGGGGTGTTTTAACCCACCGCCCCTATTCACTGCATGGGGATGGGGACTAGACAGCAAAGCCCAAGCTGATGCCGACCAGCATCACCCACAGCACAGGGATGGATCCAGCCAGCCCATCATCTCTTCTGGGGGAAAATCAGTGCTTTTAAACACCGCAGTGTCCCCCAGCCCAGGGCAGGGCAGGATCCATCCCCCTGCCCGGCCCGTGGGACGCTGTGACGACACTGAGAGTCACTGTCCCACCTGCACCGCTCTCAGGAGGCTCCTCGAGAGCAGAGGGTGCAGCTTGTGGGTCCACGGACAGCATCACCCACGAGATCCCGCTTGGCAAAGGGAGAAGCACGGGTCGAGCCTCCCTGTACAGCCATTAAGGTGGAAATAAAAGAGAAAAAGCAATCCATCCCCACGGGGCTTGGCATTGCTGCAGCGCTAATGAGAGTGCAAGGCACCGAGAGGACAAATCACCCCTTCGTTAGGGCACCCTGTTGATGGGGGAAGTTTTTGTGAGCTCAACTATTCCCCATCTGTGGGTTTTTCCCTCCCTGCCCATCTCCTTCCCGTAGCACTGAAGCAGGGCCAGCATGGGGCACCCACTGGGACCCCCCAGCTCCAGCCTCCCTCGCTGCCTTTGAATTGCTTCCTCCTGCCTGCAGCAGAACTACAAAAAATAAAAAAAAAAAAAAAGAAAACTCACAGAAACCCAAACTGCTCTGCAGAGCCCAGCCCATGGGCCGTTCATCCTCCCAAATCCGCTGTCCCGGGAAGATGCAGCACAGAAGGGTCTGTTCGGCTGCCTGCATGCCACCAGGTCCCAGCACCGAAACCAGCGTCCCAGAGCTGCCAGGGGGTCCCAGCGGGACCAGAGC